AGGAATCAAATGTTCATGTGTGTAGCAGGAGCAGTAACATGGAGGGTAAAAGCGTCTGATTATCAGAGTGTAATAAGCGAGCAGCCTCTTCTCAGTGTAATTGGTCTGCAGTGGATCTGCAGCCGAAGCTCGTTAGTGTCACAGCAGAAATAATCACGCAGTAAAAACCCCTCCTGTGACTGATCACCATATATCATACACATACACACTCACAGATGCATGAATGATTCCCTCTCTCTTTCACACACACACACACACAGCCTCTTGATAGGTGGAGCTTTAGTGTTTTAATGCAGATTTGTGCATTAATGCAGGATCTGGAGAATGAGTGTAATAGGTTGCTGTGTGAATTGGGGGGTGGGGGGGTTGATTTATTTGTACAAAGCTTTGTTCCTATGTTATGTTCCAAGATTGTCTAAACTGTCTGCTTTGCTTTAGTTGTTTCGAGGCCTAAAAAAACAGCTGAAAAATGACGTCCAGATGCAGTCAGATTCTCAGTGTAATTTCCTCCAAATTACCCGAGTCTCCTACAGAAGCCAGTGGTGTACCTAGGTAATTTGAGGGTCCCCTTTACACCAGGATAGGGGGCTGGGATGTTAATTTTGATCATTTAACTCACAATTTCCTGCTTTCTGGTGAATATTTATGCAATCTTTAGTGGTAAGTTTAAAAAAACAACAACTCTATAATGTTGACCTTGATTCCATTCCCACGCAGATGGTTTGAGAGTTATCATTCTGTCAGGTCTCAAAGTGTTAAGGTGGATAATATTTAATTTGAGCTTGTTCCATTAATGAAAGGTGTTCCTCAAGGATCAATCCTGGGCCCTGTTTAGTTTCCTATCTATAAAAATAACATTGCCTCCTCTATAACTATCTGTAATGTTTATCTTTATGCAGATGACACTGTTCTATATTGTTCTGCTGACTCAATACAGAATTTACTTATTAGTTTTAAGTTGGTACTTAACACAAGTCAAAACTAAATTTATGCTCTTCTCCAGGGCAAGAAATATTGATTTTAGCAGCCTGCAGCTATCTACGCTGGATGGTAGTGATAATGCAAGAATCCTAGCATACAAATATCTCAATATTTGGCTTGACAAATCATTTACATTTAAGACCCTCACTGGCAAACTTCGGCAGCAACTCAGATTTTTCTATCAAACGGATCTAATATTTCTTACTTCCCTGGCTGCTGGTTGTACTTTTATAGCTGACATGCATCGTGAAAACTGGGAAAATGAGAAAGAAGTGTGGAAGCAGAGGGGATTATGATCTACTTGTTGCGGGTAAGTTACAAAATTAACCCTAAAATAACTCAGCCTGCAGAAATACTGTACATTGTTTGTTTGTTAAGTGATGAATGAGATGCAAAGTGGTGTTCGTGTGTGTCAAATATCAGATTTTGAACGACCAACAATCTACCCTAAAAATGTTGGTTTGTCATAGTTAGGGTTAGGTATTTGTCAAAGTTTTATCAACAGTTAGGTCTTTTTGCATCCAAACAAAGAGAGGTGAATGGTTCTTTTTCTCCTAACAAAAGTTAAATTAAATGTCCTCTGTCAGCTGCGGAAGCATCAATGCACGTTGTATCTGCATGTAGATTTATTGAAATCCGAAAGCCCATCTCTGATTTCGGTCTCACAGCTGAAGTAAAATATCCGCAATGTACCTCAGAGAGAAATCGCTCTGCAGGAGCTCTTGTGAGGAGAAATACTGAGTGGATGGCTCTGGAGCTATTACAGTTTAAGGAGTGCAGACCTTTTCATTGTTTAAGATGAAGGTGAAAGGCAGTATGTGTGTGTGTGGGCGGTGACTGATGATCCTGATTCAGAGACGGGACCTACACAGCGGCTGAAACAGAATCAAAGTCCCGACACCCAGGTATACAGCACCTGCAGCAGAAGTCATTTAAATGTCCTCCTGGGCCATCGTGGCATCAGGAAAATTCAATCAGCCTGTCTGCTGTTGGAGGGGGGACAACGTTCCCCGAGATTACCTGCAAAGAAACTTAATAGCTAAGAGCATTAAACGCTGCTTGTTGCTCGCACTGATGCCAATAGTGAATAAATGATTTTGGCAGAGTGTACAGACAGGGAAATCAATACCAGAGGGTTTTCTGAGGCGTTGGGCTTCTGTATTCATGTAAACATGGGAAGTGGTTTTCTTCACACCTCAGAGCGAGATTACCTCTCACCACTGGAGGCCTGCCCGGGTGCAGAGGAAGAGGCAGCTCTGAGCTGAAGTCTGCCACCCGCGGGAGGATGATATTTGAATATCACCTATTCAAGAAAGACGTATGCAAATATCAGGCAATTCTCTCTGGTTGCCCACACTACATGTCAATGAAAACCCTCTGCTTTGATAAGAGAGTGTTGGAGCAGAATAACTGTTGCACATTTAGTGGCAGCTGCCTACAAGGCTTGAAATTGTGCGATGGGTGATAAGCAGGAGCAATATTTCATGAAAAGTCTCTGTTATGCTCGATGTAAGCTGACGGCTCTTTGCTCTTTTGCCGCCCTGTTCCCTGTTGTGACCCGCTCTCCATATCTCCATCCAGACTGGAGAGGCTGAGGAGAAGGAGGAGGAGGAGGAGGAGGAGGAAGAGGAGGCGGCAGTGGTGTGAGGGGTCTACTGCTCAGCCATAGTGACCGGGTGAAAAGGCAGTGCAGATGTAATTTGTCCTCAATGGCTGTTTGGGAAGAGTAATTGTGGTGACATTGGCGGGTCGATAGTATGGATTTTTTGTTTGGAGTGCCCTGTGTGTGTGGTGCTAAGGGGAGGCCAGGAAATATAACACTGCTGCTCAAATACAATAAAAATGGATCGAGGGTGTGGTGGTTGTTTGCAGAGCTGGTAGCCATCGTTTGGCTGTGGATGTCATACTGTAGCCGCCGTGGTTATCAAATACACCCCGCCGTTCTGCCCTATTAACACCAAATGTTCTCAGCTCCCAACAGGTCTCTGAAACAGGTTTAAACGCTGGAACAAAACCATCAGTTACAAAGTGTTTTACTGGAGCAAATGTGTGTCCAAATAAAGCACACAGAGGAGGGCTGAAAGTAGCGCTGATGTGTTAAGCCTCTTTAAATGTGCGTCCAAGCAAACCGTGACATATTGACGGGGATACGGCGCTCCAGAATAGGAAAGTGTGTGAGGGATGTCTGGCTGAAGTGGGCTGGTTGTTTGACCCCCGTCCCAGGGATGGTACAGTAACAACAGGGGGTCTGGGAGGTGCCTCGGGGGAGTGGACGGCAGCTCTGGTGTCCCAGTAAACTCTAACATGATCAGGCAATGGTGTGTGAGCACAATGTGTTTGTCCACCCTGAGAAATGTAATGAGGGAGAAGAAAAGGGTTATGACACAATGCAAGGACACACACTGTCTGTCCTGCATTAGGTGGAGCTTAATGTGTAAGGTCAGCATCTATTCTCTTAAGCCCTCAGAAATACTGTTTTAACATGTTTTTACTCTAAAATTATCATTTTTTCCCTCTGGAGTTAAAGCCCTACTGTGATTGAGGAGATCAAAGTATCAACAAATTAAAAACCCCAGTATGAAGCCGATATTGAACTGAGTATAGTGCAAAGATGACGAATGGAAATGTCGAAGCTGAAATATTTTATTCACAAGGTTTTCAATGGGGAACATGTCAGGACTGCATCAGGCCAGTTTCTCAGCAGGACTCTTCTACTACAGAGCCATGCTGTTGTAATCCCTGTTGTCAGAATGTGGTTTGTCATTGTCGTGCTGAAATATGAAGGTCTTCCTTGAAAAAGTCTTTGTCTGGATGTCAGCAGCTGTTGCTCCTAAACCTGTAGATATTGGTCAGCCTTAATGAAGCCTTTACAGCTATGGACTGACCCGAGTGGTCCTTCTACTCTTTAGAGAGTAGGATTCATTGTCCATGAGTGGTGAACCGCTTCCCATTTTTCCTTCTGAGAGACTCAGTCTCTCTGAATGTCCTTTTTTATACCCAGTCATGTTACTAACCTAAAGGAAATTAACCTCACTGGTTGAAGATGTTCTCCCAACTGTTTTTTTTTTTTTAGTAATACACAAAACCTGTTTGGTTGTTACTGTACTGTAGGGAATTAACTTGTGAAATGTGTTTCTTGTATCAAATATAAAAAAACTGTGTTTATCTGCCTTTTTATCCTTGAAAATCCCATCTGAACACAGACATTAAAATTCATCTTATACTATTTACCATAAGGTAGGGTGACCATATGTCCTCTTTTACCCAGACATGTCCTCTTTTTGGGGGGCTGTCTGGGCTTGTCCGGTTTTGTCCAGAGGAAGTTTATAAAATCCTTCAATTTCCAGATTTTGTACAAGAGTTTCGATTTTGTGTCACGTGGACTCACTGAGCTAGAGGTGCGTAAAAGTCACTTGATCCGACCCGAAAAACTCTCAAAATTAACTTTGTGCGACTCCGTGACTCCGCCCCTGTGTAGTGTTCTCTTTTTGAGAAGTCAGGATATGGTCACCCTATCATAAGGGTCATTAAAAGGAATCCATCAGTCAGAGTGACACGTTTTTTCAAAATCAGTTCAAAGCTCTTCACAGTACCTTTATGAATGGTTAAAATTACTATAAGGTTTAAAAATGTGGAGGAACACAGTCGCCGTCATTCCTCGATGGGCAACATGTACAGTATGTTTAATGTAACAGAAATGACTCGGATGTACATTGTTGAGGTGTTTGCTGAATTTCCAGGAGAGATAAACAGTGGTTTAACTTGGTAATAATTAACCATCTTCTAGTGCCCACGAACTCTGGCCCTGTGCACCTTTGGTTTGGCTGTTTTCTTCATTAAAATCAACTTAGATTTAAAATTTCATGCTTGATTACTGCTCTGCTCTTAAAATACCCCCCTGGAAACTACACTGCACTGGGTTATACTGAATACTTTTAGGCCTGTTAATGAGACGCTTCTTCTCGAGTGAAGGCTACCTCATAGAGCAGAGCCAGGCCAGCCCGTCCCTGTCACCCCTGTCACCTCACATCAGGCCCTGTTTCACTCCAAAGCTGTGCTCTTTGGGTCAAACCATTAAGAGAGTCAACAGACACAAGCAGGACCACATTCTGACACTCGGCCGCCACGCTGACGTAACCGAGCACGACACCTGACGTGGGGAAAAGGTCACACGACTCGTCAAAGAGACAGGGGTGCCTCAGAATAAGGACGTGAGGACTGAAAAATGGACGCCTCCCAACGGTGATGATGGACACATGGCTGAAGTATGGCCTTCTGAGAGCGGTGGGAGGAGTGGACGTCCTGCCGGGAACTGTCCCTTCTGGTTCCTGTGGCCCGTTGACGAGTAGTGTCCTCGCTGATCTCACATGATGAGGCTCACGCTAAGTAGACAAATCAGATGTGGTTAAGTGTGGACAGTTGCGCTTGTAATCAGAGCGACATGAGAGCTGTCTTTGACCGCAGAAGTCAGGAAGTTATTCTCATTCTTGTTTTGGACCCATACTGTTTCGACACGTCAGTGCTTTTCCTGGAAAAGTGAAATAATGTCAAAACCTTCAAAATAACCAAGTTGCATCTATTGTTGCACAAAAGAGATTTCAGATGGTAACTGAACAATGACGGAGAAACTTAAATGAGTTAATGGAGAAAATAATTGTTGTTGTTCACGAAACATGAAATAAGTTTGATTGAGAGCTAAAAACATTTGTTTTCTTGGCATCATTTGGATGAGATAGCTGATTCATCTCCTTTCAGTCTGTCTGTCAAATATAAAGCCACAGTCAGCAGATAGTTAGCTGACCAAATCTGCCTATACGCTTTTCTCAAGGTCAACAACGGCGATGAAGACTTTTTGTTCTGAATGAAAGCTCTTTATAAGGACTATTAATAAAAATGTGGAGACCATATTGGGGGTCTGGCTTCCTGTTGAAGTCTGAACTGTCAGGTATCAGCAGGCTTTGGAGTCTGCAGGAGAAGTATGTAAGTATGGAGAGCAAAAGCAAACAGAACACAATCCACTGGAATGACATCCAAAACTCCTGCAGTAACTTGAATACGGTTCATCCCTCTCTGAAAAAAGATTTTTGAATGCAAGGTCAGCTAACCATCTGTTCAAAGTCAAAAATAGAAACTTGGGCAACAAATCTGTTTGATACTCATTCTTTTCAGTGTTTAAGTTCCCAGACCTCTGTGAATGCATCAGAAGCGGTGGATATGACCTCAATTCAACAAACACTTCCAAAGTTTCCCCCTCCTCTTGTTGAAAAACCTGCAAAATGTGGCTTTTTACTTTACAGTAATCTTCATCACTGCGTTGTAATTGTAGCAAAATGGAGATCTGATCATTTAAAATATCAATCACAACAAATTCAGTTTCTTTTTCAGGCTCATACTGCTGAAGAAAAGCAGAAGGAAGCACCAGCATAACTATTAACAGCAAAACAGCGACTTCAAAATCAACAAACAATATTGTTGAAGGATTGCCTGGAATCACACAAATTGATAATAATGCTTCCGTATTTGATCAGGCTGCCATTCCAGATCAGAGCACGGCCGTTCCATATCCTGTGGAAATTTAGCCGTTATAAGCACGTAAAAACACTCAATCCGACACGAAAAACTCTCAAAATTAACTTTGTGTGACTCCGTGACTCTGCCCCGTGTAGCCGTGTCCTCTTTTTGGGGAGTCAGAATATGGTCACCCTATCAAACTTACTTCATAATACTCCACCTTTATGAGCATTTCACCACTTTTATACATGTAGCACATAGACTGTTGTCTTGGTAGTACTCTTTACATCCGATATTGCATATCATGGGGGACTTATCAGTCTGATATTTGCATGTGAGAGTAGAAACAGAGTGTGATTGAAGAAGGATTCTGGGGGCAGAGAGACATAGAGTTTGGCTTTAGAGAGCTGGTGAGGAGGACGGAGGGAGAGGACGAGTGTGAGAGAGAGATAGAGAGTCCCCGGGGCCCCATTAGAGGCAGTTCTGAGGGCCTGTGACATCTGACTGGATCAGTGTTCTTCAGTCAGAGGCTCTCCTCTTATCCACTCCTCTACTGGAGTCAATAAACACATCACCTACGCACAAACACAGACACACAGTTACTGAGCCTCTGGGGCGAACGCCAGATTAGTTCATTTAGAGAGGGTTTGATTCTTTCTCCTTGACGGTACACAGCTTACCAAGGACTTAACGGGAATGTCAGGTCTGATGCATACATGCTCTGCACCTGGAATTTGACTATTTAAGGAAGCAGTCATCTTGAAAATTCATCATGGTATCCTCGCCGTTGAATACAAATCTGTTTGTGTGCTGCACAGGGTGGATGTAAATGTTTGTAGGAATGTGACACTAAAGAAGAGGCAGTTAGCGAAGAGGCCGGGCTAACTTGACAGAAAAACCAACTGACGAGCCGTAAACACTTTTCTCTCTGCGCTGACAGAGCGGTGGCACCAAGCAGGGTGAAACTTTGAAAGTCAAGCGGTCCTTTATCCATCCCTGCTCTGACCTTTCTGCTAGGCTGCCCTGTATTCACTGGCTGTCAGTGTGAGTTTGTCAGGAGCCATCCGTCTCTGTCCACCTCCACCCCCCTCCCCAAATCCCTGCCGACCCATTAGCCGAGAGGATCCGGGGGAGCGGCGGCACAGCCGGCCTATGGGGGCCTCTCCTCCCTCCCCTTCCTCCTCCCCCTCAGCCCGGGTATCCACGTAGCTCACAGCTCATCCAGGTACCCCAGAGAGCCACAGCTAGCTGGCTATATATAAATATATATATACAGTGTGTTGCAAAAGCATCAACACAGCAGTACTGTCTGACGTGCTGCCCCAGGGAGCTGCAGAGAGGCTGATAGCTGCTGGGACAGAGGGAGAGCTGGTGGCATCACTGCAGGGGTAAATCTGCTCCACGCTCATCTGTACTGAGCATCTCCAACAGTCTGCAAGTTTATGGACCACAGGCCTGAAAACCTCATCTGTGCAAGTTCAAACTCAGGTCAATTAAAAGGCGAGGAAGATATCTACTGTAAAGCTAACTCAGAACAAGTTTCACATACAAAATGCTGACTGAAAAGATTTTAAAGACTTCACTAAAATCTGAAGTAACAGAGTAGGAGTATTTTAAGTGGGTGATCTTTGGATTAACTTACAATCGATAACTGATTATTAATAAGGCCGAAACTTAGATTTTCTTTTATAAATGATTAATTGTGATGTGAGACTGACCAAACTTTGTGAACCCTCAATAGTAAGCACACAAAGGTGACCGTAGGCACACTGGTTCACCGTTACCTGTCACAGCCTCCATGTCTGGACCTGTGCTCCTGTGTGCCAAAAAATGTTTCAGTACCATTAAAACACTTTCTGTTTGACTCTTTACACCTTAAAGGGCCGTGAAGTGAGGTGTCCCAGTTAAAGGATTAAAATTGATTTTTTAGCACACATGGCACAAAGTAGATCAGGGAGTGTCCTACTGCTTTTGGTGGGTAATCGATGGAAATTTGGCGGTAATCGGTGGGTGAGGTTGGCTTGAATCCTTGGATTATTCAAAGGTGTGTTTTGGGATTCATATTAAATGCCTGTACATCTTTTATATTACTATTTGCGCAGCAGGTTTTAGCCTCTTTACATGAAGACCTTTCTTCTCGTTATACTGAACTGAAAATGCAGAAACATACAGGTCACTGTGTGAGGAATGTCAGTGCTTGGATTGATGTTAAATTCACTGAAACAAATCCTCTACACAGCAGAGACGAATACACAGATGTACATTTATGCACAAGACTATGCTGACAGTTTGCTGACAGTACTGAACAGGATCTTCTGTTTAACCATCAAAGAAAGGTTGGCTTACAATCTCTGATGGTGCTACTGGTTTAAATGACTGTATTTTGTAGTGTTTCCACAATGGATATTGTTTAGTTTCTTAATGTCTGAGGAATTTAAATTAAGTGTTACTGATGTTGAAAAGTATATTTCAGTTGTGTGTGAGCATGTTTGTTGTAACATAAATTTGTGTGCATGATGGAGAGCTTGATGATGGTCTTGGTCTGGACTTTTGGCCCATCTGGATAGTGTATGAGGAGATAGCAATGAGGGATGAAGGGATACAGGAGAACATATTTGTGTCTCCGGATCTTTAGTCCTTTATAATCCTTAAATTCACTGAATCACAAAGTATGATTTTAACTTATGAGTGTGAGCACTTTTGTGCGTCTCTGTTGGTGTGTAAAAAGTAGAGGAATGTGCATTGTTAACTCTTTTGTCCTCCAATTATCTCATTAATGCATCCTCTAAATATGAGTGAAGCCCAGACTTAAGACTTAAGGCACAGACACCTTCTGTCTCTGTTCAGACACCATCGCACCCCTCGGGATTAACAAGCTCAAGTTCATTTGGAAAGACACAACGTGGGCTCGGGGTGGGACAATGATGAGTGCATCAGGAAGAAAATATCAGTGACACTTGGGACTACATGCCCTGTGTGTACTGTAGGGCTCTGAATCCAGTTCATAGCTGTTATACCCAGCTGTAGTTGTAGAGTTTAGCTGTTAAAACAAAACTTCAACAGAAAATCTTAGTCTCTTCACTCAGCTTTTTCTCAGAAAATCAGCCCAGACATAACCAAACTGATTACTGTAATGGTTTTAAAGAGTCACCAAGAGTGAGACCATTTTTAAATCTGTACTTACCTGACTTGAAATGTCTGAGTTTGCCCATGGAGCAGAAGAATAAGTGGCAAACTTCAGACGGACAAGACTCCATGGGTATGTGAGGAAGAAAAAGTAGTTTAAAAGGTTTGGGGAAAAAGTGATTCAGCGTGGATGATAGAAGGATAGATGGCTGTCTGGAGCTGTGGAGGAGGAGCAGAAAGGTGGAGGGAGGAGAAATAGACAGTGAGAGAGGGGAGGAGGGAGGAGGCAGTAACATGTGATTAATGGATGGGTGGTAGTGGGGAGGTTGAGGCAGACTGGGAGAGAGCAGAGTGACAGTAATAAAGTGAACCTGCCTCCCATTCATCTCCCTCAACCCATCTCCCGTCTGACTGGTAGGGCTGTACACACTCTGACTAATGCCACGCTCCACATGCGGGCACAGACAGCACTGCCACACACCGCTTTCTGCCTCCATTCTTCGCCACGTAAATGAACACGCACCTTCTCGTGGCCTCCCATCGCCAGCTTCGAAACCCGTTCAAAGCTCAATCATTCATCAGCAGGGATAGCTGTCGGAGAGATCAACACTACCTCATCGCTTTTTATGGCTGCTAAATCATACTGTGTATCAGACTCATCTGGCGTAAAACAATAGCTATTGCCGCTTTGACAACAGGTCAAACATGGCGGTCGTGGTTGCCGCGGGACAAATGCACATGACCTTTTTTTAAAATGGAATGTGGGTTTATTTCTGTCTGAGTTTCACCATAATAGGGTTTGTCTTTTGGTACGTTTCACCCTGAGTTTTGGGATAGGTGTGTTGCAGCGGGCTAAGGTAAACAGTAGCGTTTAGTGACCTTCCCTCTGGCTGCCGTAATGAGATGCAGATCCCAAATGTAGCCTCATTAACCTGTCCTGAGCTGCTGCAGGTCACATGTTTTACATTGATTCTGCACAGGGGAAACGTAACCCCTGTGTAATAGGGTTATGTTAGGGTTATTACCTCTGCTCATAACACACCGCCTTCGCTCAGACTTCTGTAATTATAATAAATTAAACATGGCGCATAGAGGGGAAGACAAACCTAAATATTCATCCTTCTGGGACTGTGTGTTGCATTTAAAGTGAACCTCTCCTGACCTTGCTTGCAAGCAGAGGGACTCACCCCTCCCCCCATCCTCCTAGATGAATATATTATTAGAGCGGTTTTTGCATATGTGCAGGTAGAGGTGGAGATGAAATAACTTGGAAAAAAGCAACCGTTCATCTCTCAGTCATATGTCCCAAAACCCAACTCTCTGTAAACCTGAGTGAACCCAGCAGACCAGGTTCTGGAGTCTGAAAGTCAAATGTTGTCCCATTCTGCTCAACAGTTCAGGGTCTTCTTTGTCCTGTTTTTTGGAGTCATGATGCTCCAAATGTTTTCAATGGGGGACAAGTCAGTCAAGACAGTTTCTCAGCAGGACTCTTCTACTACAGAGCCATGCTGTTGTAATCCCTGTTGTCAGAATGTGGTTTGTCATTGTCTTGCTAAAATATGAAGGTCTTCTCTGAAAAAGTCTTTGTCTGGATGTCAGCAGATGTTGCTCCTAAACCTGTAGAAATTGAGGATACCCATGACATGGACTCTGATGATCCCAATACTGTCAGGGATGCTAGATTTGGACCGGGAACTGAAAACAACCTGAGTGGTCCTTCTTCTCTTTAGATTATGAGGATGCAGGGTCCATGATTTCCAAAAAGGGAATGTCAGATTTGGACTTTTGGCCTGGACAAGTCCCCATGAGGATCAGGACCATCCAGTCTTGGTTTTGGTCCTTGTCCCTTTAGAACAGAGATTTCTCCAAATTCTCTGAATCTTTAAATGATGTAATGTACTGTAGATGATGAAATCCACTCATTCTTCCACGTTTGACCTGTTGAACTATTAGCTCATGCAGTCTCTCACAGAGTGGTGAACCTCTGAAATACTCAACCTTTCTGAATGTCCTTTTTATATCCAGTCATGTTACTAACCTGTTGGACATTAACTTCATCAGTTGGAGATGTTTCTCCAGCTGTTTTTTTTTAAGCATTACACAATCTTTTACCTGTTTGGTGTCCTGTGGTACTGGCATTGTACTGAAAATTAGATAATTCAGTTTCAACATCTGATATGTTGTCTTTGCACCATTTTCAAACCCTTGAAATAAGGTGTTTATGGTTTACAAACCATTTAAAGCTTTTCTTTATCAACATTTGACCAGCAATCACACATTTTTGTAACTGCTTTGACTGTTCGACCAGTTTTACCTTGTTTAATTCCATAATCCATCCTTCGTTCTGGCCTCTATTGGAATCATGATAATCCTGGTTAATTTGATCAAAATCAGCCCAAGCATACTCATATTTTAACTCCACAGTAGGGATTTGATCCAGATGAAAACCTGAGCCCATCTGAATGTGTCATTTTAAAAGGAAAAAAAAAAAGTTTTGAAGGTTCAGTCCTGATGGTTTAGATCTGTTCAGATTACCTCCAAACAACCGGGCCCTGCAGCCTGCAGCCAAATAACACATGGGGCTAAATGAGCTTAAATTAGTTTGACACTGACTTGATAAAAGACCCTCTATGTTATTTCAATCATTAGTGCTTTTAATTGCTCAGAGGTATAATGAACACATTACTAATTGATAAGGAAACCAGTAACAGTAAAATTCTCCTCCAAAGGGCCCCACCTGCACGGGGTAAATCTGTCTTCATATCAGCCTCCTGACTTTTGCCCGGGCAGACAATAGATTAAACAATGAATGAATGATTTATTAGCTGTCGTTGTCATGCTATTTAGATGGATGGGTGTACACGCGGCATGACCTCACTTCCTTGTTCTCTGCCTTGTATTTGGGGGTGTGAGGAGGGAGGGGGTGGACGGGGATGTTGGCAGGGCGGGGCGGGTCAGGCGCACCACTGGCCGCTGACAGGACCCCGCCACTTGATCAATGATCCCTGGTTTCGATATTGTGCCGGGTGTGAGGCAGCTGCTTCTGAACTTCAAATACATACGGAGGAGTGTGTGTTTGTGCGTGTGTGTGTAAGCTGTGTCAATCTTTGTGTGTGTTTTCATGTGTGTGTGTACATTTAGGATGGAGTGCAAAGCCAGAAAAGTAACTACCTTTACTCTCTCCCAGCCTCACCTCCCCTCTCTTCCCTTTTCTCCCTCTCTCAAATGGGTTATTCTGGCGATGGCCCTGACAGGCCATGGTTTGGATTTTGATTTATGTTCCTGTGAAGCTCAAATCAAAGATTCCATCTACTGCTGCTTTATGGCAGCTGGGATGATGAATGGTGCAGTCTCTCGGTCAAACCAAGCCTCTGTGTCTTTGCCCCACATTTTAATTGCTAAAGTAGCCAGTCATCGCTCAGCCCTCCTACCCTCTCCCTGCCTCCCATCCTCATCCTTTCTCTTCTTTTCAGCCCATTGTCTCCTCCACGCTCAATAATGTACCTTTATCCCTTCAAAATGTCTGGACGGCACAACTGGCCTTAATAAAACTTCAATTCGCCACCTAAGGAGGGAAAAAATACGTAATAACTCTCAGCAGTGGCGTACGCAGGACGTGTGAGGGAGTGTGGGGATCCTTTTCCTGGAAGTTTTGAGGGTCATACACAGTATTCCTGTAGTCTGGTGAATATTTATAGAAAAAGGTGGGCAATTAATAGAAAAAGAATTGCAAAATGATGAACAAATGATTAATAAAGAATGAAATAAAACTCATGTACTCGTAAGATCTTTTTTAATATTTCTTAACAAGGTGTTTTTTTTTAACTATGACAGTAAAATGACTGAATACTTTGATTCAACACTTAAATCAAATAGAGAAACTAGCTGAGTGTTGGCTTTCAAACCATGTATTTCAACAAATTACCAAAGAATAAGGCAAAATGATCAAATGGAAACCTTATCCCTTAAATCTACTGAAAGGGCTTAAAAACATATTTTTTAAAATGTTTTAATGCTTTCAGGAGCCTGTTTTATACAATTTGTCCTGAAAGGTCACCAATTACATTTACACCCAAGGAACCCAGAAGGAACTTTTTTTTTTTAAGCTACAGAACGGGCATCTGAAATTCACTTTTAAAAAAGTAATCTTTTGGGAGAGTATTCAGACTTCGACACCTCTGGAAGGGTAAACAGATGGAGCATCAGGAAGCTCTTTGTCATGTGTAATCCCGCAGAGGAGCTGCCACTTAAGACATAATTTGTGTATTTTCCATTGAACGAACATCTAAAGGCATGTCATAATGTTTTTCTTTACTTCAGGGGCGTCCAAGAGGTCTCTCCCTCCGTGTTTTCAGACATGAGGCACCTCTGACTGGCATATGTTTAAGCAGGGAAGTGTAGCAGATATCGCTTAATTCTTAGTAGCTGTGTCAGTCTTTTCATCTCGCCTACATTATTTTACACCCCCAGTGTTAGTGCATGATATACAGCAAACAAGTCTGATGAGGGGGAAAATTCATTCCTGCATCAACATAAAAAGCCACTTTATTTGGAGGAAGAATGCGCAGATGTCAAGCTCTGATAGAGTTTATGTTTTCTCACTATTTTTCAAAAGTAAACACATTCTGCGGTACATGACATTACTAAGTAGGTTAAGTATAGCCCTGGGCCATCATCCATCAGTACAGAATGAAGCGAGCATATTCTGCTCGATGAGAGGTGAAAGTTTTCCACTGTGCCACGATGACATTTAATTTTTCACATCTCCTGCGTGTTCCTGGGATGAATTTTGGCAGACCTGGTGCAATTTAGCTGCTTGGCAGTTTGAAATTGGACGATGAATCACAACGTGGATTCAATGGGAGCCAGTCAGTGTACAATTTTTTCTCTGTGTCAGAATGGAAAGAGAGGGGTGTGGGGGGTGGGGGGGGGGGACGCCGTGGCTTTAGATTGTGTTCTCCAATCATCTTCCACTCACACAGCCTATCATCCCCACTCCCCCTTCAAAAAACAAAGTGCAGGAGTCGAGCGGTATAAGAGGAGCGTGTGTGGCTGCAGATGTCGAGCTATGGCGGAGGTCTTTAAGGTCTGCAGTTGGATGTTTTGACAAAGAGCAGTGAAGAAAGAAATCAATAAAGTCAGGACTTTGCCAGTCACTGAGCAGAGCGGCGGAGAATGCAAAGCTCCTCTCCAACCCCGAGACAAACTCAAAATGAGCAACCAATAGACTGACACTGCCTCTGACACAAGCCATTTATTAGGCTGGCAGCAGAACATGGTGGATTGCACAGCTGATGGTGTGTATCTGGGAGGACCACACCTGAAGAAGAGCTGTGCTGCAGGGAACAGACTGTGCTGCGGCTCAAAGTGTGCAGTCTGCAGTAACATCCTCGCAGCACATGACGTTTGTTAAAGTCAAATGATTAAACACTTAACATCCACAGCATAACCCGTACGTGCAGCATCTAAATACACTGCAGTGACATAAACACTGTGTTTGATCTCCATGTTTGCATCATCTGCTCCACTGAGCGCTGAAAA